CCAACAAGGCATTTGATACTTGCATATCTTTTCCCAGTTGACTGCTTGCTAAGGGCTATTGAGAGAGGGGGCTGTGATGTTTTCAGGAAGCTATATACACCAGCCTGCTGGCCCCTCCGACTAGCCATTAACTGACTGCATTGCATAGAGCACTACCGTGTTTCCCCGAAAATAAGACACTGTCTTATATTTTTGGGGGCTCAAAAAAACACACTAGGGCTTATTTTCGGGGTAGGTCTTATTTTTTATTTTTTTTTAATGTACAACAATCCACACTTATTCATATTGAAAAGTTTACATGTATTCATGTACAAAAATATGGTGATCAGGGCAATCAGAGGTGCCGTACCTTTCCAAGAGCAATTTGCTAACTAATCGCTGGCCAGAATGAGCGAAGCGCACTTTCACTATCGATTCCTCACAGACGGTGTGCATTTGGTATCACTCCGCCTGTGACAGGAGCATCGGCTTATGCGGCTCTGCTCCCTCCGGTGCCGCCTTGCTTCCTCTAGCGCTGGCTTCGTTGGCACCGCTGATTCTCTCCCGCCTCTCTTCAAGTTCCCCCTTATGCCACCACCGGCCCTGGAAATGGTCACAACTAGGTCTTATTTTCGGGGTAGGTCTTATATTTTAGAAATTCCCAAAAATAGTACTAGGTCTTATTTTCGGGGTAGGTCTTATGTTCGGGGAAACAGGGTATATAGAGATAATGATGATTTAATGAAAACGGAACACTTTAACATTCAGTTTTGAACTGAATGGAGTGTAGCCCCTATATAGTTATATACATGTGCTACTATGAGATGTGGATTCTGACTATGAACAGTTAATTGCCTCTGTGTGGAAGAGAGGCGGAGACTTGTGGAGATTGTAGTACAGAGCAGAGATGGATACATTGCTGAAAGGACATGGAGAACTACATCACCCAGGGTGCTGTGCGAGAGGAGGGAGGGGGACTGTGGTTTGCGGCTACTGAGCACACTCAGTCTGGGACCGGGACCTGAGGTGTCGAGATCTATGTGAGACAAGGTGGATTGAGACGGCCTGGAATAGAGCTGTGTGGTCGCCTCTGACAGACCGGGACACACAGGCTCTGGACCGCAGTGTATAAGGACTATTGTCCGGTTGCCAGCAACGGAAATTGAGTGCCTACACCGAGGCCTAGTGTCGCGTCATACTCGGAAGTATTGCGGCCTGGTCGTGTGGCCGATCCAGCCACTGGAGTGGTCCAGTCAGCCCAGCTGTGTGAGCGGATGTGAACGGAGCCAGCGGTGATCGTGACGGAGACCCTAGACGAGCGATGATGTGTTACATGAGGCCGCAGATGACTTTTCCTTCCTCCTAAGTGTCGCCCTGACGAAAGAGGGATTTCTATCTGTTGCTGAAAGACAGAATTTTTCCAGACAACCCTAGGAGTGGTGAGAGGCTTATGGGGCCAAACTGACAATGTACTTTTACACATCTGCTACACAGTATGGGCCCCAACGTTGGCTAGCCTAGGACATTACTACTGGCCAGTAGTCTAGAGGGGTGTGATACTTCCAAAGGGAGATATTGTTGTGGGATTTCTCTACCTTGATACTTATTTCTGAGACAGTCTGACCTCGCAGGACTACGTATAGGCAATAGATAGCCGCAGTGCCTGGATGTCAGAGTGCATTGATTACCTCATATTGTATAGTGTGTTATTGTTACATTATTCAGAGACTATTTTGTGTTATTCAGCCATTAAATCCTTTACAAAAACTCTACAAAGGTGTGTTGGTGAGCTGTGGATCCACCAATTGGGCGGTGCATTGGTGTAGGGGGACAGAAAGACATGTTACTACCAGTGGCTCCTACGGGGGTAGCGCTACAGGAGTTTCTTGAACAAATACCCACATTCACTGTTAAAATTTAAATTAAAATGTTTCCATTCTGCTCCTTTGATTTCTTTAATCACTACGGCTGAAACTGATTACTGATTTGACCCCATCGACTATTAGTAAACAGAACAAACATTCTAAAATGGATTTTCTTTTAAAGTTCTGATGTATGGCAAGCCTAATTTACTTGATAAATGTCATCCAGAGTATTTTTCTGTTTGGGCCTTCAGGGGCCAGTAACATGGTAACTTTGGAGGAGGACAAATTCCTTTAAACTGATAGTTTAGGGAGAGATCAACATACTGCATCTGTAGTTGCAGCACTCCACTGACCAATAGGAAATTGATACAAGTCTGTGTTCATGATCCTTTGATCGAGACCTTCCTGATATTATTTCAACAGGATTAAGTTCATCGTTTTTTTTTACCCCAGAAAGCAATCACCGTGTCAAATAGGCAACTATACACTTAGATTTTAACAAAGGTAACATAAATATGGTAACTGCCATTGCAAAACTGTTTTAAAGGTGGACACTCCCAGGCTGCCATCCCCATCCTTTACAACTTGCTCAACCAGAACAAGCATGTGCAGATCAAGTGCCCAGACCGAAGTTGTAGACATACTTGCCCTGGATCAGTGATCCACTATATTAGTAGTAGGCAACCCTCGGCACTCCAGTTGTAGACATACTTGCTCTGGATCAGTGATCTACTATATCAGTAGGCAACCTTGGCACCCCGGTTGTAGACATACTTGCACTGGATCAGTGATCCACTATATCAGTAGTAGGCAACCTCGGCACTCCAGTTGTAGACATATTTGCTCTGGATCAGTGATCCACTACATCAATAGTAAGCAACCTCGGCACTCTTGTTGTAGACATATTTGCTCTGGATCAGTGATCCACTACATCAATAGTAAGCAACCTCGGCACTCTTGTTGTAGACATATTTGCTCTGGATCAGTGATCCACTACATCAGTAGTAAGCAACCTCGGCACTCCAGTTGTAGACATACTTGCTCTAGATCCTGGATCCACTATATCAGTAGTAGGAAACCTTGGCATTCTAGTTGTAGACATACTTGCTCTGGATCAGTGATCTACTATATCAGTAGGCAACCTTGGCATTCTAGTTGTAGACATACTTGCTCTGGATCAGTGATCCACTACATCAGTAGTAAGCAACCTCGGCACTCCAGTTGTAGACATACTTGCTCCAAATCCTGGATCCACTATATCAGTAGTAGGAAACCTTGGCATTCTAGTTGTAGACATACTTGCTCTGGATCAGTGATCAACAATATCAGTAGTAGGCAACCTTGGCATTCCAGTTGTAGACATAATTGCTCTGGATCAGTGATCCACTATATTTGTAGTAGGAAACCTTAGGCACTCTTGTTGTGGTAAAACGACAAATCGCATCATGACTGTGACAATGCCTCATGGGACTTTTAGTTCCACAACAGCTGGAGTGCCATGGTTGCCTACCCCTGCACTAGATAGTGAAGGAAAGATTGGCATGACAGACAGAATTCTGCATCTTCAAAAACAATTACAGCTGCCATGGTTCTCTGCTGAAAGTGGTCTCTCTTCAGAGGTCTTACAGGCCCCCTGCTTACTCAGACCTTTAACTCTGCAATCGGTAAATCTCAAACTCCCTGCTGACTGGAGAGATCTAGGTCCCAATCAAAAAATCTAAGGGGATCCTTCAAATATGTTTGAGTTATAATTTTAAAACTTGGTTGGCATCCTGTGTGTCCTCACTGGTCACACGTATTACTCTTGGTGGGACCATAAAAGATACCTCCCAACTTTCTGAGATGGAAAAAGAGGGACACCTTTTAGTACAAAGTGTGTAGGCAAAGGGCACACCCCAACATGCCCTGAGTTATTGAACCAAAAGGAATGTAAACACAAAAGGGGGAATTTATCAAAACTGGAGCAAACAGAATCTGGAGCTGCTCTCCATAGTAACCAATCAGCTTCTCTCATTTCCAAAGCTGAACTGAAGATAGAAGCTGATTGGTTACTATGAACAACTGCTCCAGATGTTTTCTCCAGTTTTGATAGCCCCGCCCAATGGTTAGAATGACTGTACAGTCAGATACTAACTTGTATGATGACCCTGGCCATACAGTGTTAGAATTTCAGGCGGATCCCAAGAACCGGCTGAAATTCAAAGTGTATGGCTACATTTAGGGTCCACCATACAAGTTGCAATCTGACTGTACAATCATGTAATACGCACAGTGGGTGCCCCTGTCAGCACCCTTTCAGCCAGGTATCCCTCGATCAGCTGATCGAAGGAGCCCGTCGGAAAATCTTCATACGATCAGAGGCGGCATCCAATGAGCTGCCGGCTCTGTTAGGGTATTCTGACGGGGGTCGGCGGCTGCTGTCAGAATACAAAATGAACAGCAGGGATTCCTCGACCAACGCACTTGTAGTGTTGCAGGAGGAATCTGCTCTATTTTTTTCATTCAGCCTGCTGGTTGAACGAGAAAAATAGATCAGTGAATGACCAGCCTAAGAGACAGGGGGAGGAGACAGGAGAGAAAAGCTTCTTTTGGTGAATAAGTGTACTTTAAATAGTACATTTTCATTAAGGGCTGTGCATCACACCCAAAAGAGGGATTTGAAGGAAAAACAAAGGGATGTGGTTCCATAAGATGGATTGTTCCTTTGATTGAGGCACAGGTAACACCTATATAAATCATAGTTTGCCAGACATAAAACAAAAATCGTAGGTGCCTCTTATACAATGATAATAATCAACAAGATTTTCTTAAAGCCTCCTCTTCTCATTTGCTATGCTGATCACGCCCCATAAAGTATGGCTCAGAAAGGACACCGTAAACACTCGCACTATAAGCGCTTTCCTCAATACACAATTAGCATTGCCCTTTTGAAAGATGTCCGCCTTGGGCCTAAGCGCCGCCAGTCACGTGAACAACCCAACACACTACGTCAACATTTTGCTGTCAGAGAGGCAAACCGAGGGAAGCATTGCATTTGGCCTCTGTCACGCATGCAATAAACGCTCCCCTGACAGCAGCACTGAGCAGCCGCCATTGACTACAAGCGGACGATACGGGCGGAGCCGACCGATGCAGTGGTGTGGGTGTCATGTGACTGCCTCCGTGAGTAGGCGGGGCTTCCGTTAGGAGGAAGCGACGGCTAGAACAGGAGAGGGCGGGGCGGCTGATGTTGCTGTATGTGAGGCAGGTGATGATCTGTAGAGCGGAGTACAACGACACAGCCTTGGAATAAGTGTGCTGGGGGCCCCTTACCCTGCAGGACAGGCCATGGAGTGAGCAAGCTGCTCTTGTTCCCGAGGCAGAGGATCGTCATGGGGGCCAAGGAGTCCCGGATCGGGTTCCTTACATATGATGAAGCCGTTAAAAGAGGTGAGCTGGAGGCTGATCGCCTGACAAGTGACAGGTGGGGGGATCAGGGACTAGGGTGACCCGATGACGGGGGCCTGGGAGGGACAAATGAGTGCAAGAATGGAAAGGTCAATGACAGGCGGAGGAGCAAGCTCCGGGACATGGGTGACAGCTCGGAATGGACGATCTGTGTGTTGTGGGTTCAGACGTCTCCTAGTGTGTGTGTGTATATACAAGATGTGAGACGGTTCTGCTCACTGTGCAAATGTGACAGCCGTGTCTGATGACATCCAACCTGCCTGTGTACTACTACCACCATCATCATCATCAGTGTGTTCTACCCCCCACAAACCGTGCTTGTGTTTTATATACCAAAGCTCAGTGACATTCGGCTCATAGCACACTCCATTCCCTTATTTGTGCTCCCAATATTTACACATTGCATTCTTTACCATTGTCAGACTGATCTGTGTATTCTGGCTTGTTAAGAGATCTCTCTGCAGTCTTAGATCTTTTACACTGACAGCTAACTTTTCTGTCTCCACAGTGTGAAGTATAAGATTTATGATGGTGGAAATGCAAAACATCGCTTTTGTTTTGTGTTAGACATTGCAATCTTGGTCTATTGCTATTGTTCAGTGGAAAAAAAAAAATAGCAAGCGCTCTTGTAAATGTATCTTTGTAATTGTGTGTCACTATTTGGTATTTAAAGCGTAACTCAGGGATTTGCACCTTGGCCCTCCAGCTGTGGTCAGGCTACAAATCCTATCATGCCTCTGCGTTATGGGTCATACATGTAGCTGGCACAGTCTTGCAATGCATCATGGACTTGTAGTTCCATAACAGCTGGAGTGCAGAGGTTGCCTACCCCTGGCGTAGCTAAACCTAAACACAAAAATGTAATATATGGCATCTTGAAAATATATACAGCTACATTGTGCCTAATATTCAAACAGCTGTGAGCACCATAAAC